CTATTTGAACGCAGGGATTGAGGCACTTTTTGGTAGAATATTAAGTTAGGATTTTTTTTTCTGTACAAATTTGGTAATGTGATAAAAAGTCTGATTTATGGGGCTAGAGAGATGGCTCAGTGGTTAAGAGCACAGGCTGCTCTTGCAGGGGACCTGGGTTAAATTGCCAGGACCCACATTTCAGCTAACAACTGTCTATAACTACAGTTCCAGGGGAATCCAATGTCCTCTTCTGACCTCTGTGGGTGTCTCACAACATGGATTCACTTACATATATGCAGGGAATACACTCATACACTCATACACATAAAATAAAGATAATAAATAAAATATTTTAAAAAGTCTGATTTATACCATTTTTTCAGTCTTATCTATCCATTATTCTACCCACCCATCCACCTACTAAGGACACAGTGGTGTTTCGAATCATGAATTATAGACCATAGGCAGCAGGCCAGTCTTGTCTTACTCTGTATGTTGTTATGCAAAGTTGACTTGAAAATGCAAGTTTGGACCACACAGGCTTCACTACTGAGCTGGGTCAGACCCTGTTAATCAATCTCTGTGCTCTCTCTAGGAGCTGCTGTCTACAAGTCTACTGGAAGGTCTGAGCAAACCCTTCCTATGCCATCACTATACCAGAATGCTTGAGATAATGAACCTATTAAGAAATAAGGTCTATTTTGGCTCACAGTTTTGGACCTTCCAGTCCATGCTTGGTTAACCCTGCTGCCTTAGGCCTGTGGTGAGGCAGTATATCATGGTGTCAGTGTGTGGTGGCACAAAACCACTCACCTCATGGCTAGAAAGCAAAAGAGAAAGAGATGGGGTGGGGTGGGGGAGAAGGGATTGAGACCCCACAACCCTTTTCAAAGGCATGTCTCCAGTGACCTAGGGCCTCCTCCCGACTCCCTGCCCCCAGGTTCTGCAATATCTCCCAACAACACCACTCTGACTATCATAGCCTTAACATGTTGGTCTTAGAGAGAAAAATATCCAAATTATAGCATTTTTATAATTTATAAAACACACTCTTAATAAAATGCTAATTATCATTTGCATAGAAATGTTCTAAGACGGGTTGGAGAGATGACCGAGAGTTAAGAGCTTGGCACTGCTCTTCCAGAGGACCTGAGTTCAGTTTCCAGCATCATGTTTAGTGACTCACAACCTCCAGTAACTCCAGCTCCAGGAGATCCATCACTGTCTTCTGGCCTCTGTGGGCATGCTCGCACATGTGCGCACATATCCACACGCAGAAACATAATTAAAAGTAAAATAAATCTTAAAAGGTTTAGAGCTAGGTGTGGTGGCACACACCTTAATCCCTGCACTTGGGAGGCAGAGGCAGGCAGATCTCTGTAAGCTCAAGGCCAGGCTGGTCTACCTAGCGAGTTCCACACCAGCTGGGACTACAGAAAGACCCTGCTTCAAAAAGACCAAAAAACCCCCCCAAAAGTTTCAGATTACCACATTGGACTTTTGAAAGAAATGTTCAATCTAAATATACTTTGATAATTTTATTATTAATAATAACAATAACAATAACCTGATCATAGCATATATTTATGCATCAGCTATGTATAGAACATCAGCTATGTATAGAACATCAGCTATGTATAGAACTCATCTAGTACTATAGTCGCCCTCTGCAGTGGGTCCTGGTGCTGTCCTGCTTTTCTGGTGGAGAAATGGAGGCACCCAAGATGAACTCATTTCTACTCCATTGCTTGGGTAGTGAGGAGCAGAGCTGGGGTTTGAACTCAGAGACTGCTCTTTGTGAAGGCTTTGCTTCTTCCACTAGAACTGGGTGCATACATGACGGAAACTGAGCTTCCTGATGATGGAAACTGTTACAGCTTCCTAATAAGAGGCCTCTTCTCAATGTGAAGTGACACTGCGTCTCTAATTAAACACAGTTTACTTTAGTAATTTAAATGATATTATTTTTCCTATTCATTTACTTTCATCCTCTCCTTGTCTTTGCATTTAAAGTCTGGTGGCTCAGCAGGACCCATGTGGTGGAAGAAGAGAAGTCTGACCTCCACACATGGCATCCATGCACCCCCAGTAAACAATAAAATGCAAAAAAAGAAAACCCCCAAATCCAAAAGTGTGTCTCTTGTAAATAGCATATAGTTGGGTCTTCCTATCATAAAAAATTATACTAACGTTCTATACTGCTTATATATTTATTTAACATTTGGTGTGATTATTGCTATTAGGTTCCTTTATTTTTTATTATATTTTATTTATTTATTTGGGGGGACAGGAGTTGCATTCATGCCACAGAAGACTACTAGCAGAATCAGCTTATGCCTTCTATCTACCGTGTTGGTCCCAGGGCAAGAACTCATATCTTCAGGCTTGGGGCAAGTCCATTTTCCTTGGTCCTCTAGATTTTTTTTTAAAGTCTGAGTCTTTCTGTATAGCCCAGGCTGGACTTAAGCTTAGCTACACAACTTCCAATATTTGCTTTTTGTTTTTTTTTTTCAGCAATTTGACTGAGACGGCCTTGAGCCTGGTATGGTAGTGCATGCCTTTAATTCCAGCGCTTAGGAGGCAGTTTTTGGAATTTAGAGATGCATGCTGACATTAGGGAGGTTAGACTGTAGAGACTTATTCTCGTGTTTTTCTCTGATGTGTAATGTTCCCTTGGCTGTAGTTCCAGCTCAGCAAGCCTGCCGTCAGTTGTGATTTTGTGTGTGTTTTTAGGTGGAGCATTTAAATCCATTTTGTTATGGTACTTAGGGAACCATGTCTTTTTTCCTTCCGAGAGTTTTCCTAATCTTACCAACAGTCACAATTTCTTAGCTTAACCCTTTAGGTTTCTTAGTATGAGAAGATTTCAGATGTTCCCACATGTGCCCTTGCTACCACTGTGCCCTGGCTTAAAGTTATGAAAAGGCTCACACCTCTAGTCCCAGCATTCAGGAGACAGAGCAGGTGGATCTCTGTGAGTTCGATGCCAGCCTGGTCTACAGATACATAGTGACCTTGTCTTAAAACACCAAACCCAAAACCCAATGAAACAAAAAAGTTATGAGAAGACAAATTCACTTCTTCACTTCCCTGGCTTCCTTTCTCTGTGTGAGTACTAACTCATCACCAGAGTCCTAAGGGTGAGCTCCTGGAGGCAGTGAGTGTGAGTTCTCTAACATGGTGTGCACTCCCCACACAGTGTGAGCTCCCCACACAGTGAATGTGAGCTCCCCAACACTGTGTGAGTTCTACAATACAGTGAGTGTGAACTCCCCACACAGTGAGTGTGAGCTCCCCACACAGTAAGTGTGAGCTCCCCCACATGGTGTGAGTTCTACAATACAGTGAGTGTGAACTCCCCACACAGTGAATGTGAGCTCCCCAACACTGTGTGAGTTCTATAATACAGTGAGTGTGAACTCCCTAAACAGTGAGTGTGAGCTCCCCAACATGGTGTGAATTTCCCAACACAGTGTGAGCTCCCCAACATAGTGAGTGTGAGCTCCCCAACATGATGTGAACTTCCCAGTGTAGTGTGAGCTCCCCAATACAGTGAGTGTGAGCTCCCCATACAGTGTGAGAGACTCTTCCATTCACTTTCTGGCATCTTCTGTATTATTCCATCTCTAATCATTGTTTTCTATCCAGCAGAATCCTAGTCTCTCATATCTAGAAGTAGAATTGTCTCCATGATGCACACATCTCAGTTGGCAGAGGTAGAAAATCAGCAAGCCAGAAAAACAATCATAGTTCATAATGTGTGCCATGAAATAAATAAGGCACGAGATAGAAAACATCTTTTTGTTTTATTTTTAGACAGGGTCTCACTATGTAGCCCAGGCTATACTTAAATTCTTGGTCCTTCTTCCCCATCTGCCTAAATGTGTATGCCCTGCTCCTAGCTAAAAGCAATAACTTTTAAGTTTGGGGGTAAGTTTTCTAAAGAACTCACATTTGAGTTGAGACCTAAGGAGTAAGAATTTGTCCTTGCAAAAGGCTGAATAAGAAATGTTCCCACGCAAAGGCAGCAGCAGATACAAAAGCCCTGAGGATGGACAACCAGATGGCTCAGTGGGTAAAGGCACTTGCTGCCAAGCCTGAGGACCGGAACTCAATCCCTGGGACCCACATGAAAGATGGAGAGAACTGAATTCTGCAGGTTGTTTTCCGACTTGCATATCTATGTCATGGAACACATACTCAGACACCCCCCCAACAAACAAATAAAAGCCCTAAGGAGGAGAGGCCAGTGTGGTGGGAATGCACATAATGAAGGGTTCTAAAGTGAGGTGGGAGTGACAAGGTGGGGAGGTGCCTCCCGTGCAGTGATGGGGAGTTGGGAATTGTGACTTAAGATAAAGACTCAGGATTTAAAAAGACTGTAATGATCATGGTTATTTACGAATTTGCTTACCAATCTGTGCTGATTTGGGAGTGAGGCTCTGTGTCTGAATCTCACAGCACTGTCCTGTGGGCACTGGCACCTGCATCTTGGCCTGCACATACCTCTGTCTATGTAGCTGGCACTCTAGCTTGGTGGGGGAATCTTCTAGGTGCAAGATGGCTGTTAGGCAGACCTCCTTCGGTCTTAAGAGGCTGTGTGACTACAGGCTCAGTCGCTGACGGGCATTGTGGTCTTCTGACCCCATAACCTGCTTTGGGATATGAGCTAGAAGACCAGGCGGAGTAGAATTCTGCGATGTTGGGAACTTGAAGTAGACAGATTCTAACATCACTTACATCTCTGAGGTTCTCTGGTATTACTAGAAAAAAAAATACGTTGATCTGCATGTAGAAAAGAGAATGTCAGTTCAACCCTCAGTTTAGACATGGAAAGTGCAGACATGGAGAGTGAGAGGCCTATAGTGGAGCAAAGAGCTGCACCTCCACAGGGCAGATGAGTCACGTGACACTGCCAACAAGCAGTCTTCAGCGGGCGAACTGTGTCACATTCACCCAGATGCGATCGTTCTGGAGAGCGTTTAACTCACATGGTGCTTCTCTCTGCTCTGGTCTAGATGACAGCGCATCTGCTGCCAGCAGCATGGAGGTATCAGACCGCATCGCCTCTCTGGAGCAGCGAGTCCAGATGCAGGAAGATGACATCCAGCTGCTCAAGTCAGCGCTGGCCGACGTGGTTCGGCGACTGAACATCACTGAGGAGCAACAGGCTGTGCTTAACAGGAAAGGACCTACCAAAGGTGGGCATGACCACTGTCGTGTGAAAGACCTTGCTCTCGCAGATGCAGTGCACTCCATTGTCCACCCAGAATCAAAACACTCTCAGCCCTGCCACCATAATCACAAAGTGTGACAGTGTTTTTGGTGTGGTGTTGGTGAGTTGTCCTGCGTGCTACAGAGAGAGCTATACATTTGTAGGTGATTGTTAAATGCTCCTTGAGTCAAGGGATTGTCCAAATGGATCACCAAGAACAGAGTTAAGGTTGCGTGGGACAGAGAGAACTGGCAGAAAGAACTGAGCTCCTTCCGGCCCTTTCTGGGGGTTCCATCTGGAAAGTTCTCTGATACTTCCCATCCCTTCCTGTGCCCTTGGCTCACGCTGACACTTGCACAGCAAACGCTCAGCTGTTCATGTGTTACAAGGGAGGCCTCCAGGCCAGGCTGGGCACAGAGGTGGTGGGCTTCCTCTAGAGAGCTGAGTCCTGGAGGTATCTAGCTGGCCTGCTTGCCTGGTTTTTCTCAGGATGTGCCTTTAGCTTCTTTTAAGACCCCTCTGCTGTCCTCGGGGATGCAGCCTGCTCCAGAGGTCTGTACCACTGGGTTTCTGTGTTCAGGAATGAGGCAAACAAAAGCAGCAGTTGTGTTAAGTAACTTTATAGTGACCTCGTCTTCAAACTTTAGAAACAAAATACCTCATAAGAGCCCCGACCACACACGAATACACAGTGGTCTGTGCTGGGATGTGTGCGTTTGAGTGCAGTGGCTCATCTCTTGCCAGAGTTGATTTTCTCTGCAGCTGTCCCATCTTGGCTATGAGATTCTGCTGATGAAAATATCCTGAAATTACAGCATGCTAATGTCCCTTTAAAAATGGCTTTCTAGCTCAGTTGGTAAAGTGCTTGCTATACAAGCATGAAGACTTGAATTTGATCCCACTGGATGTGGTGGCATGAGCTTACAATCCCAGTGTTGGTGAGGCAGAGGCAGATGGGGGGAAGCCTGGCATTCACTGGCCAGCCAGCCTAGTTTGCTTTCTGTTGCTGTGATAAAACACTGACTTGAAGATAAAACCAACTTGGGGAGGAAAGGATTTATTTGGCTTTCAAGGGAAGCCAAGGAAGAACTCAAGGCAGGAACCTGGAGGCAGGAGCTGAAGCAGAGCCTGTGGTGGAACACTGCTTACTGGCTTCCTCCCCTGGCTTGCTCGGCTACCTTTTGTAAATAGCCCAGGCCACCTGTGCAGGGGTGACACAGTCCATAGTGGGCTGGGCTCTCCTTCATCAATTAGCAATCAAGAAAATGCCCCATAGACATGCTCATGGGCCAATCTGACTGAGGAAATTCTTCAGTCAAGGTTCCCTCTTCTCAAGTTGATAATGGACACTAATTATGACACTAGACTATTTGTCAAGCTCCAGGCCAGTGACAGACCCTACCTCAAAACAAGGTCCTGAGTACTGACCCCTGAGGTTGACCTGTGACATCCACACAGTGCACAAGCACACTGGCACACACTCATGCACATGTACAGACATACCTTTTTTGATGGTTTGAATTTCCACTGGAGACAGGAGAAAACTGTGTAATATTGTATCTTCTTGGTTTTTCTCAAGTTCCTGGATCTGGACAGGGATCTGTTCTTTGACCTTTGGGGTAGGTGAGGCCAGCTACATGTTAGAGGCACCTGCTCCACTCAGTCTATATTTTGAATAATCCTTTCAAAGTAATCTTTTTCTCTGAAGTTACAAAGTGATTAAGGTATTTCAGGTGTTCCTGACCGACTCAGCTTTCCAGAAATAAATCTGATGATCACTGTACCCTAAAAGCCATGTCTGAAGTGTTTGCCCTATATGAAGCTTCTAAAACTTCTTTACTCTTGAATAGTAGGAGAAAATAACATAAAGGGCTTTTTCAGGAGTTTTCTCCCCTTGATTATGAGTGGTGTTTGATCATTACAAAACTTCTAAGAAAAATGGCTTTTTTCTCCTTACCTGATGGTTCATTATAACATTGTTTTCCTAAATGGAAAAAGTCCATCTCGAAGCTGGAGGGTCACACTGAGAGGCAGAAGGAAGGAAAATGGATGAGGGTGTGGTACCCTGAGTGAAGCGGCCATGGTTCCTGTGCTATGCCAATTTGAGGGTAGAGCGCTGTATCTGAAGTTCTGGACACCATGCCTGAATTTCACAGTGCAGTCCTACACCTCAATTTGCAGGCACCTCTGTCTGCCCAGCTGGTACTCTGCCGTCGTGGTTTGGTGGGGGAATCTAGATGCAAGGTTAGTCACACAAACCTTTGTTTTTAAAAGGTTGCATCACTACATGCTCAGTATGCTATATCCAAGACACTGGGACTCAGAAATGTTTAAAATTCCAGATTTGGGAGTATTTGTATATGTATAATGAGACATGTGGGAGAGAAGACCCAAGTCTAAACCAATACAAAATCCATTTACGTTTCCTATGTACCTTATAAGCACGGCCGGAAGGCGGTTGTGTTAGTCTGTTTTCCACCACTGTTATAATATCAGAGGTAACCAACCCACAAGGAGAGAAGCTCTGTTTTGGAGCGTGGGTCTGGGGTGAGGCAGTACATCATGGCATTAGCATGTGGCAGACCCTTGACTTCCTGACCGAGGAGTGAGAAAAAGGAAAAGGAAGGGCCTGGGGCCCTCTGGAGGGTGTGCCTCTGACAGCCAGCTCACCTCTGCCTTCTAGGCCCCACCTTACAGTTCCTAGCACCTCCCAATAGCACCCTCTGGGGACACATGGGCCTTTGGGGGACTGCAGGTCCAAACTGTAGCTTAACCTTTGATAGAGCTTTTGTCAAAAATTTGCATTTTTTAAAGAATAAAATATACTTGTTAGTGGTACTTACAAAAAACTACATCGTACAGAAATATTCAAATAATTAAAAACATAACTTAAAATTCAAATTTCCTTTTAGTGTAATGGTCCCTTTGGATTCACATTGAACACTGCCCAATTAAGGATGTACTTTGCATTGAAAACGTGTTATATCTTGAGAGAGCATTCAAAGGACTTACAGGAAGTCCTTATGAGTATACTTTTATTACTTGTTTTTTTTCTTCTGTGATCGGGTGACCTCATTTAATAGTATGCATTTCCATTTCCAGCAAATTTTCTGATTTCATTTTTGTTTACAGCTAAGTAATATTCTATTTTATATGTGTACCAGATTTTCATTATCCATTCACCAGTCGATGGACAGCCAGGTTAGTTCCATCTCCTTGCTGTAGTAAATAGAGTAGCAAAAACATGGGATACAGATATCTCTATGGTAAAGTACAGCATTCTCTGGGTATTTGCCCAGGAGTGAAATTATTTATTTCAGGGAAATACAAATTAAAGCTACTTTGAGATATCACTTCACCCTAATCAGAATGGCTGTCATCAAGAAATCTGATGTTAAAGAGGATGTGGAGAAAGAGGAATCCTTATTCACTGCTGGTGGAGTGCAAATTAGTGCAGCCATTATGGAAATCAGTTTGGAGGTTCCACAAAAAATTAAAAATAGAACTACCACATGGCCCAAATTAGGCATTTTTTACTGCAAACTGTCATGTAAATTCAGGTGTGGAATTTCCCACAGTGTCTTATTAATTCTCAGAGTTTCAGATTTTAGGGCATCTTGGGTTTAAGATCAGGGATGCTCAACCTGTGTTATTACCATCACCTAACAATTTGGGGTCTTTAAAGTAGATTGGACACATGACAGTCTAGTGCTGTAAATATTAAGTAATTTCATACCCACGCTACCTGTTGGAAACTTAGGGCTGGGGCTGGAGAGATGGCTTAGAAGCTGATAGTGCTTTCTGCACAATCAAGAGGCTCTGAATTCAGGTCTCAGCACCCATGTAACAAGCCAGGCATCCCATGCACACTGTAACCCCAGCTCGGAGTGAGGCAGAGACAGGAGGACTTCTGGGGCTTGTTGGCATCCAGCCTAGTCAAGAAAGCACAGACCCTGGGTTCAGGAGAGACCCTGCCTCAAAGGAATATATGGAGAGAGATAGAGGAAGGTACGATCTTCTGACCTCAGTGCATGTGCCTATGTGTGTGACACACAGACACATTCATTCACGTGGATATCAATGAATCAGTCTTTGAAAAAAGAAGACACTTTAAGACTCAGTGTTGGGGCCTTCAGGTATACACCTTTGTGCTCTGTGGCTGCTAACAGCAGAGAAGCAGGTAGCCTCAGAAGGCAGGTGGCTCAGCTCAAAGTTAGTGCAGGTGTCTTCTGTGTCTTGGCTGGCCCTGTTCCTGAGAATGGATTCAAGCTTACAGACTACAACATCACCTGTGAGCCCATAGGTGGTAATCCAGATCAAACCAATGATGCTCTCACATGTATTCAGTTGAAGAGTTCATCCCTAGATAAACACTAAAACCAAGAGTGAAAGTGTCATATTAGCAGGAAATTGTTCTGATAGGTGCACTTCAGGAAACATTAGTCAACAGGAAGTTGTCCTGCCGCAGGAAGTCAATGGGAATGAGAAGCATTGTTTCCAAGTTGATGGAACCACAGAAAGCCACATGTGAGTACAGCATGTCTTGATGCACCCCTTTCATGGTCTTGTGCCTTGGAAATGTCAAACAAATGTGAACATTTGTTCCAAGTAAGGAATAGCTGCTGGGGTGGGGCTCTGTGATGTACCAGGCCTTTGGCTCCACCCCTAGCACCACAACAAAACAACTTCTTGTCTAAAGCAAGAATAGTAGAGTGCAGACTTCGCAACAGAATCAGTCTAACCACAGTGTGCACATAGTAATAACCGGAGTTGCTTTCTCTGTGACTCTGCAGATGATAAGAAAAGCCACGTTGTCAGAATGGTTGAATGTAGGGAACGCTGGATTTTATGGAAAAAAAAAGTTTGAAAGACTCATGCAGATGGGCAGCTGTGGTGGGCATATCTATGAGTCATCCTCTTTGTGCTGGTGCCACAGGGGACCAGTCAGGGGCCAGGAATAGCACCAAGCTTCAAGAAGTCGCTGGC